CTGAAGGCGGCGGAGGTATTTTCAAGCAGACAAAGGAGAGGCGAGGGCAGGTGTTTCAGTTGGAGGCCACACTATGTGGGAAGACACAGTTCTGTGTGGGGAGAGGGTGGAGGCCCAGGCAGGAGATTGTGGAGCATGCCGTGGTGTGGTATGCTGTACCTGAGGGGTCTGACTCTATTCGAAATCTTAGACTGTGCTAAAGGAAGGAAGGGAGGAGGGAGAGGCAGCCATTTTCCTACCACATTAGGAGCAGACAATTCTTATTATAAGGTAGTCACTACCTTCTAAGAAACAGCTTGTAACGTGAAGCTCTTGGAGAGAACGCCCCAACAAGGCTACGAGAGAAAGAGGGCAGACCCATGTCAGTTCACAAGGTCCGACAGGCAGACGGAGGCTGTTAGGGTTGCATTTGTACCTCTGAGGACACCTGATGTTAGTGGAGAAATTTCCATCAGAGGGAGACTCAGCATGTGTGAATATTTTGAATGTTGCATTGAATGGTGACATTTTAGAAGCCTATAAATGTGTGTAGCTTACAAAGTTTTAACAGAAGGGGGTACTTTGGAAGTGGGAAGTATGCCCAGAAATAAATCAAGGGCTGGTGGTTCTAGGATGTCAAGAGGAGAAGTCGGCCTGACCTGGCTTGCTGGCAGAGCAGCCCTACAGCTTTAGGGGCCACCTCCCTGCCGTTTAAACATTGATACTAACAATACCCACCTCACTGAGTTGTCCTGATGATTAAATAGGAAAGTGCTTTGTAAACTATTCAGGATCCTAGTACTTTTTTTTATCAAAAAGTTCACACAGCAAAATTGCTTTTTAAAGAAGTCGCATACCCTTCTCTTGGTCAGAGAGCTCACTAGCACCATCCCATCTAGTGGCAAAAAATAATTAACAGCACCAGTGAAGCCTGCTAAATTAACAGCACCAGTGGTAGGCTGAATAAAGGCCCCCAAAGATATTGCTGCCCTAATGCCCGGAACCTGTGAATAATGGCAAAATGCGAATATTACTTCATATGGCAAAAGATGTGATTAAGTTAAGGATATTGAGATGGGGAGAGTTTCCTGGATCATCCAGGTGGGTTCTAAATGTAACCACATATCCTTATCAGACGGAGGTGGAGGAAGATTTGATATAGAGGAGAATGTGATGTAACAGAAGCCAACAGAGATTTGAAGATGCCACCTACTGACACTGAAGATGCAGGAAGGGGCCAGGAGCCAAGGAATGTAAAGAATGCAACTCTGGAAGTTGGAAGAGGCAAGGAAATGGATTCTGTCCTGGAGCCTTCAGAGGGGGCACGCCCCCGGGAATGCCTTGACTTTAGCCTAGTGAGACCGATTTTGGACTTCTGGCCTCCAGAACCATAAGAGAATAAATTTGTATTGTTTTATGTCACTTAGTTGGTGGTAATTTTTTCATAGCAGCCATAAGAAATGGACATATTCACTAAATACTGAGGACCTACAATGTTCAAGGCATTGTGTTGGTCTGGCTGGGTCTGTAACAATGAATAAAAACAATCTGGAGCCAATTGATAGAATTGAGAAAGCTCATGTCAAAGAGATGAGAATTAAAATGAGGTTAAAAGAAAGTAAAAATAATCGCAGGTGGAGGTGGAATAGATGGTGGTGGTGAGATAGATGGGTGGGGTTCCACCAGGCAGAGGGAAGAGAACGGGCATAGTCATAAAGATGGCAAAGTGAAAGACATATTTGAAGAATAAAGCAGAGTCCCCTTTTGTTGTAACATAAGGTATTTAGATTTGGCACTAAAGGAAGATCAGGGCCGTAAGATGGAAAGCTTTGGGTGTCGACCTAAGGGATTTATATTTTTTCACTAGGCAATGGAGCACTGCTAAATGTACTTGCACAGAACAGTGACATGCATGAAGGCCTATTTATTTTACAGTGAACATATTAGGTTAGTCCTAGCTTTATGGGGGAAATTATAAATTTTGCATATTAAAATAACTGTGGTAGCTGAAAGAATTTGTGGTCAATTTTTCTGCAGTGCAAAATTTTCTTATGTATTATGATGACTCTAGTTATATTTTTAAATTCTTAAAATGTGCTTCTGCAATCAGAAAATGAGGATGAAAAAAATCTATTCAAAGTTAGATGCTTTTTCCAGAATTAAAAAGTAAGTTACTGATACTATACTTTGAAGAGAGAATCTAATTGAAGAGGTAAAGTGATAAACAACGTATTAACTCATGGACTGGGTAGCTATTCTTAATTTGACAAATGAAAGTTTCTAACGTCAAAAGTTGTTAAAAATAATGCTAACAAGCAGAAAGAAAAGACTGGCAGGTAGATAGGTGGAGTCAGAGAACTGAGAGAAGGAAATAGAATTAAAATAAAGAAGAAGTGATTAGAGTTAAGCGTGAGGAAGACCATCTTAATTACTGAAATGATGAAACAGTGGGATGTATTATTTAAGGAGATTTTACTTCTTCAAGACAAGAAAATTCCACCAGTTTTTCTCATGTAATTTGTTTGTGGCAGGCAAGATTTAGCAAACATTTTCTGAACATATACTCAGTGCCCAGAATTAGATGAGTGCAAGAGATTCCACAGTAAACAAGAGAGACAATTTCTTATGCGTGGTGGAAGATGATCCTTTAAGCAGGAAATGGTGTTCTTATATGACAAACTTCTATGTTATCTAAATAATCTGAACATGCTTTTAAGGGAGCATTGCATTCACTGTTTCATTGACCAGATGCTGGAGTTCCTCGAATGAATGTTGCCGGTGAGTGAAGAGAAGAGCAGGAAGGCTGTGCTGGTGTATAGAGGGTCAGACCAGACAGTGAACGTTTCCAACACTCAGTATTTCACCTCTCACATCTTATAAAATTGGCTATTTGCAAGTCCGACTGTATAAAGAAAAAGCTTGAAATGAGAAACATAAATAATCCACCGTAAAATATATTTGCTAGACAAATAATGGGATATTATTGTCCGGGTAACTCTTGTTGGGGAGGGGAAATCCCCCCACCCACCCTTTTATGTTTGTCTGGCTGAAATAAATTGACATGAGGCAGATTAACAGGGGAAAATCAAATTTAATTTCATATATATGGGAAATCCACATAACTATGAGAGATTCCAAAGGCAGTCAGGCAAAATGAGGTATATATGCTACTCTGAGCTAAGGAGAAGCGGGTAGGGTTCTGGGGCCTGAAAGGGAAGGGAGACAATTCACAGGAAGATGGGAAAAGCAAATGTTTGGTAAACATATGTTTGCCATGCTATGTAGAGTCACTGGAACCCAGAGAGGACTTTGGTCAAATGGGCCTTGCTCAGTTTTCCCAAGTCTACCACACTAGCTCATACTCTGTGTAGATATCTCTCGTGATAGTATTTCTTCCTGGAACAGACTCTTTATCTAAATTCTTTTAGGTAGTTAAGTCAGAGGTAAAAGCTCATTTGTCTTTTGTTTCTTAAAAATGATCAGCCTAAAATAATCCTCATACCACAGAGACACATTTTGGGGTGACAAATTTTGCTCCCCTACACTCTAATGGAAAATAAAAAAGGTGTTTAAAAAACATTCATTACAAGATGTTTGTATTGCCTTTGAAATCACATGAAAGAAATTAGTGGTAAAAATAAACAAACTATGGGGCCAGTCTGGTAGTGTAGTGATTAAGTTTGAGTGCTCTGCTTTGACGACCTGAGGTTCATAGCTTCAGATCCCAGGCGTGGACCTATACATCACTCATCAAGCCATGCTGTGGTGGCATCCCACATGCAAAATAGAGGAAGATTGGCATGGATGTTAGGTCAGGGACAATTGTCCTCAAGCAAAAACAGGAAGATTGGCAAGAGATGTTAACTCAGGGCCAACCTTCCTCACCAAAATAAATAAATAAACAAATAAATAAAATAAACAAATAAAAAAGTGGTAAAAAGAAGTAAATCAAAATTTTGAAAGATTCACCCTTGAAGACAGAGTACAAGATAAAAGAAGGAAAAAAAGCTGGTGTAGGAAAGAAGGATCATTCCTCCTTCCCAAGATAACCTCACATGTGGGAATTTATCCAAACTAATGGAACGTGCATTTGTATTATTGAGTGATTTTGAGATTAAAAGGAAATCTTTCACTAAGAGCCGATTTCTGTCTAACATAGATTTCATATCTGCTATCTAAACGTTCTTCAGGGCAGAATACGGTTCAGTTCTCCCCTTTGCCGCAGAAAACACCCCATTGCTGATTTGTATCAAAGCTCTCAATGATATGAAGGGGAGCAGAACTTATCACCCAAAATGTGGCCCTTTGACATAAGGATTATCTTGAGCTGGTTATTTTTAGGAAACAGCAGACATAGCAGAAGCTCTAAAAACCTAGTAGAAGTTACCCTTTTTTAAGAGACCTTTACACTTATAACAGAAATCTTCATTTGTAAGGGTATCTTCCTCTACGGACCAGGAAAAGAAGGATGATTAAGTCTCCAGAAACCCTTATCACTGGAGATGGCATCCACTTAAATCTATATAACAACTATACCCTTGTTTACTGTGCTTTTGCTGGTAACCTTCCATAGCTGGCCTCCCTCTCATCCCCCACTACTCCCAATATCTTTCTTTTGTCTTTTGCTGGAGATGGTATTTAAGGTGATGGGTGGCTTGGGCCATTTCAGGGAGTTACTCAGTTTTCCTAGATATCTCCCGTGTCTATAGGAGATACACGTGTTATTAAACTTCTGTTTGTTTTTCTCCTGTTAATCTGTCTCTTATTATGGGGGAGGGGTCTCAGCCAAGAACCTAGAAGGACAGAGGGAAAATTATTCTTCCTCTCCCACAGATACTTCACCAATTTCCATCAAGGGCAAACAGTCCAGTGAAAGATAGCTCAATATGGGGACAGTTGTGGCAAAGAGATCATGACTTCTTTAACTGAGAGTTTGGGCTAAATGTTCATCAATTTCTTCATAAGTCACGTTAAAAATTCTTGACTTCTAATGTCCAATTGTTCCCTTTCCTCTTCCCTAGTGTGTCCTTCAGAATGAGTTCGTGCAGATACAATAAACCCAGGGAAGGACTTCAACCCTTTCAATATCTGAACCCCTGAATCCAAGACTCACGTATGTATTATGAGCTTGCTGTTTAGCGTCATCTCTCCTATATTAACAGAAATACTGTATCAGTGTAGGCTCTACTGTCTTATTGACTGGTTTCAAAAAAATGACTCATTCTTAACACTTGCTAAAAAACAGTAAGGCAGACTTTATTTGGGACCTTTGCAATAGGTGTCGGGACTATTGCAATGGGATTTTGCAGTGGGGGAGAGAGATCGTGCTCAACTCTGAATACAACAAGGAAAAGTGATAATTTATAACCTGGGAGCAGGGTGGGAGTGAGTGGATGGAAAATTCCTAAGAGGAAGCATCAAGGGTATGGGGATTCCAGCTAAACTGACTTAAAGTGATTCTTGCTGAAGGCAGGTCAGGGTGATCAGACATCACCGGGAGGGTAGGGGATGAGGAACCCCATCAGATATTGAGAGTAATCAGATGTTGAGGGTGCGGGACTGTGTCTAAACTGGCTTAACAGGATTCTTGCTAACATTGGACAATGCAGTGACTAACATGGAAACCCAAATGTCAGAGTCTAGTTGAGAGGGAGTTCAGAGGAGCCTGATTAAACTTTAGTAAGGAGAGACTGTCACTGGATATTGTGTGTGTGTGTGTGTGCGCGTGCGTGTGTGTGTTTGCATAATTTAGATCATTCCAAACACTGGCAATGCCAAAATGATAGGCATGGATTTAAAGCATCCTCAAAATGGACCAAACAACCAGCAATGGCTATGTATTAGTCAGTTGTTGGTTTAACTACAACAGAGACAAAATAACAGTGGCTTAAATAAGGTAGGAGTTAATCCTCTCCAGTATAATGCTGGGGGTCTGCTAGAGGCCAGGGCTGACAGGCAGGACAATTAGCAGTCTTTGCCACAGGCTGTAGCGGTCATTAACACTCCACTTAAAGGAGATGTTCATTCATTGTGCTTTATCATCTCGAGCTGGTGTACAACACATGCCTGAGATTCCTGTGTTAATGGTGGCATGACCCAAAATTAGTTAAAAAAAAAAAAGAAAGCCGCTCTCAACTAAAGCAACACACACTGGCAGCAGTAAGTTTGCTTGCTGCTGCTCATTTATTTTCCTACCACACTAGATAAATTGTGAACTTATTAAATACCTGGTGACAAGCTAATTAATGAAGCTTAACAAGACGCAGGGCCAAATTAGCACTCAGGCTAAATGGGGTTCAAAAGCACTAATTATTAGAAGTTTTGAGTTGTGATGAAACTACTGACATGTATAAACCTTTAAATTGTATTATTAATCATATCACATTCTAATTTTAGAAACCTACACGTTCTTTCCATCATAAGTAGAGCAAAATAGGTGAAAAATTTTCTAAGTGCAAAATTTAAATTTTGATAACCAAATGACTTATTTAGAAAATTCAAACTAGAAATTTCAAGATTAGTTATTCAAGATGTAATTAAGGTCGTAAACACAATTCAAATCTTAAGTGTTTCATTTGTTCTACAGGTTTGATTGTGTCTTTCCTTAAGGAACTTAAGTCTCATCTATGACCCATGATGGGGCCGGCCCGGTGGCGCAGTGGTTAAGTTCGCACGTTCCGCTTCTCGGTGGCCCGGGGTTCACCGGTTCGGATCGCGGTGCGGACATGGCACTGCTTGGCACGCCATGCTGTGGAGGCATCCCACATATAAAGTAGAGGAAGATGGGCACGATGTTAGCTCAGGGCCAGTCCTCCTCAGCAAAAAGAGGAGGACTGGCAGTAGTTAGCTCAGGGCTAATCTTCCTCCAAAACAAAACAAAACAAAACAAAACAAAAAAACGAAAAAAAAAAAAAGACCAATGATTCCCAATCAGCAGAATGACCTGTGGTACATTAAAAAAAAAAAAAAAAAAAATTCAAGGGTTCTACCCGTGGGGATTATGATTTTATGAGTTTGGGGAAACTTGTATTTCTAAAAAGCTCTCCAGGTGCTAGAAATCTCTGGTTTAGGTAATGTACTCAGGAGCACAGGTTTCGATACTGGCTCAACACAAGGTTGACATAAGGGAAGCCATATTGTAGAAAAGAAATAATATTGTAACTTTAAATGACTTCTGACTAACTAGCCCAGACATGCTCTGTGGATTTTGTGGTCCCTACCAGCTGCTTTAAGATGATAACTTTGCTCTTTTGAGTTGCTTAGGAATGATAACTCGTGGGCAAAGAGCCATCATCAATGACAACTGAAAGATCAGGGTATAGGGCATTGCTCCATTCTCTGATGCACATACAGTGAAACAAAGGACTATCAGGAACTAGGACCAGATGTCTGCCCCCACCCAAAGATCAGCCACCTCCCCCACCTGGAGAATAGCTCCATATATAACTGACCTGTAGTCTTTGTTCTGGGAGATGGTTCTTTTGGACTTGAGTCGGCCATCTTCTCTCTTGCTAGCAAGCTGTGACAAAGTCCTTTCTCTCCTACCTCCTTGCTTCCTGACTATTGGTGTGTCTTGTGGCGAGCAGACATTCCCCCTTGGGTGGTAACAGTTTATATAACAATAATGTCTGAGAAATTTGAAATGTTAGATGATCTGGGAAGTATTTTTAGGTTATTTCCTTCATATTAAAAAAAATTATGATACTGTTACTATTTTAGCAAAAGAGGCTCTATTTACTTTTTAATGACTTTTATGAACCTGATGGCTAAAAACAGATCTCTTAGAAAATCCAGCCAACACCTAAAATGTGATATTTTTTCCTGCCGTATCTTAATTTTTAAATATGTTTAGAGAGAAGCTCTTTCAAGCTTTTGACGCCAGCTGCACTGGTTTTCACTGGCTGAGTCATTTCCCTGAAATTCGGTATTTTAAGAACTGTTAAATAAATTAAACAAGAAGACCAATAGCCTGAGGGGGCTCTAATGCTGTGGAGGCCTACATAAGCCAACCAAAGTCTAAGCTGTAAATGCCTCAAGGTTACGAATCCAAATGCTGAGGACAGCCAATCACAAACAGCCACCTAGGCCTTAAGCTACAGTCAACCAAATAATTTCCTTCTGCACTTTCTCTATGTAAGTCTTTCTGCTGGTTCTTCTCTGGCAGAGCGCTTCTAACCACTTCTGGTTTAATGCTGCCCAAGTTGAGTCAATTTTTGCTCAAATAAACTTAAAATTATTAATACGCCTCAGTTTATCTTCTAACAGAACACTAACTCAAGTGGACTTTGTTGAGGAACCAGGAATATAATGTCACTAACTTTTTTGAGAGTTGGTATTTCCAGTGCAGAAGAGTTCATCTTCATGACTGTCGTGCTGAGAAGTCAATGCAGGATCTTGTCTCTCTCTCTGCCAGTCATGGCAAAATACAGTCTGGGCAGGTTTCCAAGTTCAGGTGACATTCCTAAGCCAATAAGAAGTGCCCCAAATGGTTTCCAGCTTTCTCTCCAGGGGTAAGAGTTGGACCTGTTGCCATGGAGACTGACCTTTACCAGCTTGAACACATTTGCCGTTTGACACAGAGGAATAAATCACTGTGACCTGACTGTGGGCACGGGGCTGAAGGCTGATTCTCCTGGAGCATTATTGTCAGTTTGCTCAACAACTCTGCTGACTTTCTTCTTGGAACTGTGCCATGGCGTTCGTAAGAGCATGACTCAACCATGCCAGCAGTCTCAGCGAGCTCAAAGTGGCCTCAACTTGAGGATTTATAGCCTTAGCAAATACAGAGCACATTTCTTTGTTTCCTTTCAGAAATCGAGAAGTGATTCATTTTCAGTAAACAATGAGAGGATTATGGACATGTTTACCAGTCTGGAATTCAGCTTCCTCTGAATGCAATTCCTTTAGTTCCTAGGAAAGACGTTACGCATTTCAAACAGTTCTCTTTCTTCTTTAATCCACTTTCTTTCTTCCTCCATGGAAAAGATGTATAATTTAGTCTTCACTCAAATCCAAATAAGATGACTTTCAAAGGCCTTTCAGGCCCTAATGTTTGTCCTTTGCAAGAACAAGCAATGGTGATTCTGAAGAATTTAAATGCAGATGCTGTTGGCAGCCAGAGATGTTTTCCGTTGTTGAAACGCAAAGGAAAATTTTACTTTACAATTGCACTGTGCCACTCCTGACATTGATGGATCCTGTATTCACCAGAGCGGGAAAAATTAAAATATCTTACCTGCCTGCGCAGTATCGTTGGTGGTTATACAACAATAAAATATTCATCAGTCTGGTATATTCACTGTTGAAACTGACAGACCAAGTTGGACGTGGTTGAGAATGTGTGCCATGTATCATGTTCCTACTTGGTTTAGATTAGCTTTCTGTAATAACAATTGCATTCAGGAGGGCTCATATTGTCTCCATTATGAAGTCAACTCAAAGACATTAGCACTACAGTGATTGCTTCAGCAAATCTGAAATATTTTTAGCTGTTGACAAAAGGTTCAGTTTCATTATACTGAATTCCAGGATAAAACTACTGTAATAGACTTACTTTCTCAGAGTCTCATCGTTTGTATGGTCCTGGCAAATCATTATAACTTTCTAGAATTATCTGGAAATGGTCTGAAGTTAGCAGTTTTCAAGTCAGTGGGACACAGAGGCAGTTGATATTCACCTATCCATTCATTTATTAGAAATAGGTCACAGATAGCCAATTTTTGACATAAATCTTCTCATTTTGGAAAGAACGTTAGAAATAGCCTAGCTAATGTACTGTAAAAGTTCAATTCAGGTTTTGATAATGAACCCAAAAGGCATATTAACAAATGAACCTATTGCATAATATGCCAAAAAGTGAAAGTTTTATTTTCTCTTTTTCCTGCGGTATAAATAAGTTCTCCTGACGGAAACTCAGCATTAACTCAGAAAAATTCTTTTTGACTAAATACTTTTAGTTGCAGGTCACCTGTTCAACTCTCCTGGAGTTCAGAGATATCCTTAGTAGAGGAGGTGAAAGATACCCTTTTACCTTGTGATTCTGGATTTTTTAAACTACTAACTTCGTTAGACTAACAAGGTGAATAAAACTCCTTATTTTTAAATCCAGATATT